CCCAGCCCAGGCCCCCCACAGGGCAGCACTGCTGGACCATGCTTGTTCTCCGCCATTGTCCCCCGTGGCTTTTGCCAGTGGCAGCTCAGCAACAGCCAAGGAAGGAAGAGCATCAGTAAGCAGTACCCAGGGGGTTGTGTTGGAGGGAGCACCACCCTCCCTGTGCTCCGCGATCGCGATCTGCACACACCCGCTGGCAGAGAAGGCTTTGGGCAGGAGCCCTCCCAGGCAGGGAGCTGCTCCTGTGCCTTGCACTATGGTGAAACACATCCCCCACATCACCACTGCCTGCTCCTGCAGCCCCACAGCGCCCTGGGCACCCCCGGGAGCCCGCAGGATGGTGCAAGGCCTTTCCTCCATCCAGGCTTCATCCTGAACCTCACCCAGGCAGGGCTGGGTGGGCAAACAGCAGAGGCTGCAGACCCAGGGGCACCCCTCGCCTGGCTGCCCCCTCTCAGCTGCCCACACTGCTCTTGGCAAAGCAAACCCAGGTTCAGCTCTGGAGCCTCCTGACCTCAGCGCAGGTCCTGCTGCTGCCATCGGAACCAGGGCTGGGGCTGCCACCAGTGTGTGAAGGAGTGACAGGGCCCATGTCCAGCGAGGATGTGTCTGGGACCCTGCCTGTGCTCTCACAGACCCTCGGCCTCACACGGGCTCCAGCGCAGCAATGGAAAACACAGGGCAGAAAATACCTGAGATATCAAAGGATGATGTGTCTGGCCTTCCTTACAACATTTATACAGCTGGGGAAAAGGCTCAAGCTGTGCTGCCAAAGAGGGGCTCTGCTGACAACGGACTCCAAGGGAATTGTATTTGCAGTGTATGTGCAGGGCAGGCATGTCTGACCTTTGCAGAATGGATTAAGGCTTTCAGCACCCAGCCTGGGCTGTGTGAGCGACTCAGGCAGCACACCCAGACATCAGAGTGCTTGTGCAGAGCAAACCCAGCCAAGCATGAGATAGGGAAGGGCCATGAGCATCCGCCCCGGGAGCAGGGGCAGCTCCACTGCCTGCAATGCTGAGCTGAGCTGAGCTGAGCTGACTGCAGCCCTGCCCTGGGCAGCCTGCTCCAATGCCTGAGCACCCTCTGGGGCAGGAATTGTTCCTCAGCTCCATCTAAACCTGCCCTGGTGCAGCTTGAGGCCGGTTCCTCTTGTCCCATCCCTTGTTCCTTGGGAGCAGAGCCCAGCCCCTCCTGGCTCCATCCTCCTGTCAGGCAGTTGGAGGCAGCCATCAGGTCCCCCCTGAGCCTTCTCCAGACTGAACCCCCCAGGTCCCTCAGCCCTTCCCCATCACTCTTGAGCTCCAGTCCATACCTGACTACCATCAAACCCTCTTTGGTTGCCTTGAACCTTCCAGGTCCTACTAAAACTTCACAAATTACTTAAAATTAAAAAAAGACCAAGATGTTACTGAAAGCAACACACACACATGCACACACATACACACATGCACACATGCACACACATACACACACGCACACATGCACACACATACACACACGCACACACGCACACAAACACACACACACACACACACATGCACACAAACACACACACACACTGGCCGCATGGGCCCACCGACCCTGAGACACGTTTGTTTGCTCTGGAAAACACCCCATTGCTGCTCATTCCAGCCCCCACCCACTGGCTGCATCCCCTATTTCCAACAGTATAAACCACTTCACAGCACGGAAGTGGCAATAATGATTTCCCATAACCTTATCCAGTTCTTTAGCCCTTGGAAAAGGTGGCTTTGGCTGATTTGAGGGAGAATCAGAGGGAAACCCAAGTGGGAGGAGGATTACAGGAGCGAACACTCTTGGGCTGCATCCTGGTCCAAAGGGAGGAAGACTGCAGCCAGGAGAGCTCAGATTTTAGGAAGGGAGATGTCAGCATTCTTGCAATGCAATCAGTGCCTTCCTTTCCCAGGATTCCCATGTCTCACGAAGCATAATGCAGCTCAGAGTGTGGCTCCCGTTACAACAGGGGATCACAAATTGCATCACATTCTGGAACCTATGTTCTAGGGACAGGCCAAGGGGAATGGCTTGAACCTGCCCGAGGGGAGACTGAGCTGAGCTCTTAGGCAGAAGCTCTTCCCTGTGAGGGTGCTGAGGCGCTGGCACAGGGTGCCCAGAGAAGCTGTGGCTGCCCCATCCCTGGCAGTGCTCAAGGCCAGGTTGGACACAGGGGCTTGGAGCAAGCTGCTTCAGTGGAAGGGGTCCCTGGGTTGGAGCTGGGTGAGCTTTGAGGTCCCTTCAACACAAACCAGGCTGGGATTCTATGAGCCCTCTCTTTGCTGCTCCTTGGGTAACAGCAACAGCAAGTGAAAGCCTCAGTAACTGCTGCTGCTTGACAAGGAGTCTGCTACAGGACAAATGCAATGCTCCTATGAAAATATTGAAGATCAAATAATATTACCTCTAATATGGATGGAAAATATTACCCATTTGGCAATTTGAGTAAACATGGAATTAAACATGACGTTCATTTGATTAATAGTATCTTCAGTTGATTAAACCCATCTCTCGGAAACAGAAATGGGTTTGGTTTTGCAGACCTGCCAGAGCCACAGCTCCAGGCTCCCCAGCCTCTTCAAAAGCAATTCCTGAGTTTCTGTTTCCTTCCTGTGGCAGGGTTCCTGTGCTGAGGAGCACACAGCCTGTCCCAAGTAGAAAGCAAATGCCTTGCCCAAAGCTTCCCAGCAGTGTTGGTGCTGCCTCCCATCACCACGAGATCACACAGCACACCAGGCCTCCCAGGTCACTCACTGCACAGTGAGGCCTGCATCCCCGCTTGGAGAAGGATGGGACATCGGCTCCTGAACTCCTTCCTCACTGTGGGCAGATGGTGCTTGAATCAACCAAAGCAACCAAATCACTCATACATTTCAAACACCAGTTTCCAGGTAGGAAGATCTACATTTTCTGTAATTAAATGCGAGTTGTAAATGACTTTGTAAATGCAAAAAGCTTTTCTTAGCATCAAAGGAAATTTAGCATATTGACATAATTATCCAGAAAGATGACAGATGAATCACTGCAGCATTTTGTTGAAAGTGTATATACAATTCTGATGCCTGATAGACTGCTATGTGCCAGACTTAACCTTTCTTTAGCATAAACAGAGAAGGAAGCAGCCATGAGGAGCAGCTCTCTTCAAAGCCAAAAAGGCCCTGCCCTGGGACAGGAATATCTTTTTCCCCGTTTCATGTTCTGAGCAGAATTAATTTTCCATCCCCAAGTGCTGCTGCTCAACAGAAGAAATCCTCTTTGGCAAGTTTACATTCAGAACTATGAGTATTCGCATATGAGCTCCCAAAGTACTGTTGGCTGCTATTCTGTAGTAAGGTTTTGATTTAGGTTTGGGTCCTCAGTGATGAGCAGAAGTCACAAAACCCTGAGAGATCCTATCCTGCCCAGGGCTGTCTGGGGAGACCTTCCTCTGCTATTTGCCTTTTATCTTTACAGCACTACCCTACGGAAGGGTCTGAGCTTGTATTTACCCATTCTGCATCATCTATTATAACCCCAGGAACCCCACAGAGCTCCGCTGCCAGCTTTTGCCTTTTCTGTCTCAACAGCCATGGCTGCAAACAGGGGTGACTGTGCAAACCCTCCTCCTCGTGCCTCGCACACTGCCCAGGTTCCATGTCCATCAGCCCTGGCAGTCCCACACGGACTCACAACAAAGCCAGGCAGGAATTAGCACGGGAGAGCGTGCCACAAGCGCATCAGAACACTGTAAAAGATACCTCGGTGCTCGGCAGTGAACTGAGGCTGTGACAAAACATCTTCACCAGCCAGCAGGGCTAAGGACAGCGCTGGGACTAACAGCATCCACTCGCTCGACTCTGAAAGCTGGACTCTACCTCATCAACACTGCGGCTGGACTGTGTGCTGGTGCTGTTCCTCACGACTGATGTATCTAAAACGAGGGTTTCAGAGCTTCTGCCTAAGAGCTCAGCTCAGTCTCCCCTCAGGCAGGTTCAAGTCATTCCCCTTGGCCTGTCCCTACAGGCCCTTGTCCCAAGCCCCTCTCCAGCTTTCCTGCAGCCCCTTTAGGCACTGGAGCTGCTCTCAGGTCTCCCCTTCAGGAGCCTTCTCTTCTCCAGGCTGCCCCAGCCCAGCTCTCTCAGCCTGGCTCCAGAGCAGAGGTGATTTCAGAACAAACTGATCTCTGACTCACGCAGTGAAACCTCCAACTGAAGCGCCTTCACTCCTCCCTCGCTGTTCCGCTGACCCAGCACATCACATCCCAGGTGAAACATTCTCCACAAGGAAACGACACCACAGCACCGGTGCAATGAAGTCGCACGCACACGCAAGGACACAGCACATGCACACGCACACGCACATGCACACACTGACCTCGGTGCTCGCACACCAAGCAAATGGTGTAAAACGCCACGACAGAAGCAGCAAAGAGGGGCCGAGTGAGAGTCACTGAAAAAGCATGTAAGAGAGGCCTAGAGCTAGGAAACTGAGCAGTAACAGATTTCCAGAGCTCTCCAGCTTTTTGATCATCACCTCCCACCTTCTCCCACACGCTTGGCAAGAAACCCTTGTTAAAAATAAACAACAAAACCTCTCCGCATAACTCATTTCTGATGGGGAAAACAGCCCAGGGCTTCCGAGAACCCTCCAGAGCACATCGTGCCAGCTCACTCCGTCCCCCAGCACAGCTCCCTACACCCTCCTGACTTACTGGCCCCCTCACAAGCCATCAGCCCTCCCAGGGAGCAGAGAACACGCTGAGTGTGTGCTGTGAAATGGCCCCAGCTGTGCTGTAGTTCCAAATACACCTGTTTCACCAAGATGCCAAGAAATGAAGCAGTGCCAAACGGCAGCAAGGTGTTTCCTGAACACATTTTTCCTGTGTTTACTGAGCAGCCATGATCCAGCAGTGAAAGTGGCCTATTTCAGCACTGTTCCTGTATGCAACAGCAGGCATCTGATACAACACACAAGCAAACTGAGGACCAAGGGTCCAAGCCTACCTTGCCAAAGCTTCCCTTCCCAATCGCCCGGAGAATCTGGAAGTGGTCAAAGTTCACTACAAGGTAAAGAAAAAAGAATTGACATTTGTAAATGCTTTACTGCGAAGAGCTTACGTTCAGAAAGAAGACAAGGAGACGACTAAAGAGCGTTGGTCAAGCTTCAAGTCACCGCCTCCTGGGGAAGATGATGGCCAGCAGCTGGTTTGCTTTCAAATCTCTTTACCTGCTTGCAGTAGCTAGAAAAGAGGTTAAATTGGATTATTAAAGAAGTGGTTTAGCACAAGTTAAAATGCAGCTTTGGCCTGTGTTGATACAGGAGGAGTCTCACAGCTATGCCATGAGCACATGAGCCAACTCAGAGCATGGCCGAGAGCAGAACACAAGCGCCCGGATCCATACAGCTTCACACTCAACATCCCAGGGGTCTGGCACTGGAGCATTCCAAAGGACACCAATTAGAGGATGACAAGACAATTAGCAATGAAGAGAGGTCAGTGCAGCTCTAACACTCCAGTTAGTGCCGTGATCAGCAGCGCTGCAAATGAAATTACTTTTACTAAACTATTGCTGTGATCTAATCTAATCTGAGTCCTCTGTAAATAAAAAAGATATAACCATAGAATCCCAGCCTGGTTTGTGCTGGAAGGGACCTCAAAGCTCCTCCAGCTCCAACCCCTGCCACGGGCAGGGACCCCTTCCACTGGAGCAGCTTGCTCCAAGCCCCTGTGTCCAACCTGGCCTTGAGCACTGCCAGGGATGGGGCAGCCACAGCTTCTCTGGGCACCCTGTGCCAGCGCCTCAGCACCCTCACAGTAAAAATGCAGGTCTGTTTATAGAACTAATGAAATAATCCTCATTGGCACACAGGGGGTGCCTCACAGACAAAGAAACAATCAGATACCCTCACAAAAGCCAGTGTACAGGACACACCATTACCCCCATTTTACAAATTGCCTCTTTCTGTCTCAGTTCCTTGATGCCCTCAGAGCTCAGGAAGCTGCACGCTGCAAACAGAGCCCCCTATGGGACTGGCTGCACCGCGCTCCCAAAGAGGCCATCGGTGTTGAGGAGGAGCTCACCAGCTGCACCCTGCTCCGCGCCACCCATCATCCTCGGCATTCCCACCACAAGATCCGGACATGCAAGGGGACCCTCAGCATTTCCTCCCCAGAAGGCTGGATGAAGAGAAATGCTGGGCACGGGTTTGGGGACCTGCAGCAAGAATGAAGCGTGAGGTGTTCAACAGCGAGCACCGAACCCGTGTTTGACTGGCAGCAGAGCCCAGGATCACACAGGAAGAGCGGGAGCACAGAATTCACCATAAATATTCCAAATCCCACTCCCAGATCTTAAATAAGTGCACATCTGTCATCTCTGAGGATGAATCAAAAGCTCACGCATGCCCGTGGAGTTCCTATTACCCTTTTGTGCTAGGCTGATATCCAAAATATTGTTATTGTCGCTTTTGTGGGACATTTTCTGCAGGAGAACTCGGAAAACTTTGCCAAATTAATTGAAAACAGAGCCTGGGCCAGCTCTTAGCACATATCTGCCTGCGCTCCTAGCCCACTCCACACTCCACAAGTGATGCTGAAGGGCAGATGCACCATCTCCTCCCCAACAATGCTGCAGGAGACTCCATGGAAGATTCATTGGAGAAACCAATGTTGCCCCATCCTGACAGCCCCTGTGCCTCCAAAGGGCTCAGCTACATGGGTGGCGTCTTCCCTTATCACACCCCTTCTCTCCCTCTGCTCCTGTCTACTCTGCTCTGGTGAGACCCCATTGGCAGCACTGCAGTTCTGGTGTCCTCAGCACCAGAGGGACGTGGAGCTGTTGGAGCAAGTCCAGAAGAGGCCATGGAGCTGCTGCGAGGGCTGGAGCAGCTCTGCTCTGGAGCCAGGCTGAGAGAGCTGGGCTGGGGCAGCCTGGAGAAGAGAAGGCTCCTGAAGGGGAGACCTGAGAGCAGCTCCAGTGCCTAAAGGGGCTGCAGGAAACCTGGAGACGGGCTTGGGACAAGGGCCTGTAGGGACAGGGCAAGGGGAATGGCTTGAACCTGCCCGAGGGGAGACTGAGCTGAGCTCTTAGGCAGAAGCTCTTCCCTGTGAGGGTGCTGAGGCGCTGGCACAGGGTGCCCAGAGAAGCTGTGGCTGCCCCATCCCTGGCAGTGCTCAAGGCCAGGTTGGACACAGGGGCTTGGAAATTTAAGGTCCTTTCCAACTCAAACCATTCTATGATTCTATGATTTTACCGAGGTTTTCCCTACCACCCCTCTTAGAGAGCCTGTATTGATTGCAGCAATGCAAAGCTGCGACTGCATTGTGTTCATATTCTCTCTCAGATCCAAACCGCTCTCACACAGTACACAATGGCAAAGCATCTGGGGCAACAGACCCAGGCTTCTTCACGTGCTCACAAATCAATTAACTGAGCTCTGTCACTCGGAACCACTCAAAGAGGAAACCCAGCCCAGTGACAGCGCTCTCCTGGCAGTGAAACCCTTGGGAGCACTCATGCTCTGCGGTCGCTCCGGGAGGATGGGTCCTGACAGCTCCTCAGTACAATGTTTGGAATATTGTGTAAAAAAAGCACTGCCACTAAGAAAACAAACCCCAAAGTGTCATTGCCATGTCTCCATGGCTACCACTGCTCTAGAAAGCATGCTCCAGGCAGCAGGCAAGAAATCCAGATATGAAAAGTCACCTTGAACCTGTCAGTGAAGATGTCACTTCCAGTAAGTTAAATCCAGGGTTCTGCCCGTGTCAGAAACAGGCACTGGCTGCTTTCAGTTTCATTATTTTCTCAGGAACTTGTGAGCAATCCCATTAAAGCAGCAAACCTCAGCACTTGGGGAAGTTGATCACAGCAGCAGCAAGTTGCTTTTGTGTTCGGCACACTGGATTTCTACAGATGACAACGTACCACTACAGAACATGTGATGATCACAGAGACAGGAACGTGAACGAGCCTGGAACAGCTACCTGTGATCCGAGGCCGCGCTCCCTGAGAGCTGACAGGACAAAGCTGCCCTTCACCCGCTGCTGCAGGAGCTGATGATGTGGGGGTGCCTGGTCCTGAGGCACAGGCACCCCTGGACTCATGACACTCGCTCCCAGCAGTAGAAGATGAGGCGGTCAAGGCCCCAGCCTGCCAGGGTTTAAGAGGCGTTTGGACAATGGCCTTAGTAACATAGAATCATAGAATAGTTAGGGTTGGAAAGGACCTTAAAATCATCAAGCTCCAACCCCCTGCCATGGGCAGGGGCACATGCTTTAACCTGGTCAGCCCTGAAGGACTGGATGACCATTGGAGGTCTCTTCTAACTCCAACTGGAATATTCTATCCTGTTCTACTTTGCTTCTATCCTATTCTACCTTATCTTAGCCTAGTCTATTCTGCTCTATTCTGTTCCTATTCCACCCTATACTTAGTGACATGGTTTAGTGGCGCCTTGGCAGCCCCAGGGCAACAGCTGGACTTGATCTTACAGGTCTTTTTCAACCTGGCTGATTCTACGATCCGATCCTATCCTATCCTAAACCCACCTGCAACGTGCAGACACAAGGGATTGTAGCACCACAGCACAGGACACTGACTTCTTGGTCATACCCCAACCCGATGCCATGCGCTGTGTGTACCCGATGGGTGCTTCGTTAGCTCCTTGTGACAAAACTACACTAATGACTCCTATTGACTCCTTTAACACTTGTTATCAATATGGCACCTCTGCAGGTAAGTGGGGCTGCTGGACAAACGATGGTATTTGCCATGAGAGAAACACGCCTCTTCCTGAACCTCCCCAGCACCAAGTGACCAGCCATGAACCACAGACAGAGATGAACACCATGACCTGGATTTGCTCGGTTTGGTGTGTTCTTGCCCTCCATCTCCAGCACTGCATGACAAGCAGGGGCAGGGTTTCACGTGCCAGTGGGACCTTAGCAAACCTCACGCAGCCCAGTCCAGCCCACTTCACAAGAGAGGGCCAGGTGCTGCACTGGCATCCCTGTAATTAAGACGTCATTGTAGTCACAAAATGTACTCTGGGATAAAGCCTCTATTCTCCAGTGAAATAAAGGGAATGAAGAACATGTTTCTCTGCAAATATTCTTTCTACAGAAGGACGCCTCAACGTGAGATGCAAAAAAATGAGGGTTTTGTCTTCACTATCTCGAATTTGCGAGTGTTTTCATTTTTTTTTGCTGTTTATTCTGCATTTCTATACAAGATACCTAAAAGTATGGCAAGACAAAAGTACCATGAAACTTCAGATACACAGTGGACACCCAGTGAGGGCTCAAACTCAGGACTTGGTATCAGTGTTCAACAGCAGGAAAACAATGGGTGCAGTTAGTAAACCTGCTGTCCACTCTCATCAGATCTTGGGAAAACAGAGAATTAAAAGTCATGTTTCAAGGATTAAGTCAACCTTTCACTATTTATCTGCACATCTTCCAGCATTAGGGATAAAAAAAGGGAAGTTTTAACTCCAAGAATGACTTTCTACAATGGTGAAGACCTAATAAATTCTTTCTTGAGCCTTGTAACAGCAAATCTGTAGGGCTAGTACAACAAGATCAGCTTCCTCTTTCTATCAACGTATTTCTATACACTGGCATAATTAATAACATTTGTCAACCTATTACATTACTGCAGTTTAGCTTGGGAAGAAAGCACCATGGTAATTGATGTTGAAGCATTAATGTGGCCACGGTAACCACAAGTTCAATGCCACAGAATGCCCAGAGCTTCAGCTCACAGAAAAGAGAGCTCCAGCTGAGCCTGAGGATCACCATCAGCATCGACCCCAGCCGGGAGGAGCGGCCGCTTCGGCACGTGTCTGGTGGTGCCTGGCCAGGAGCTCTTCCCTATGAGGGTGCTGAGGTGCTGGCACAGGGTGCCCAGAGAAGCTGTGGCTGCCCCATCCCTGGCAGTGCTCAAGGCCAGGTTGGACACAGGGGCTTGGAGCAAGCTGCTCCAGTGGAAGGGGTCCCTGCCCGTGGCAGGGGTTGGGACTGGAGGAGCTTTGAGGTCCCTCCCAACACAAACCAGGCTG